ACAGCTATGCAAGTGACTCATGGCTGAGCCCTCTGCTTGGCTGCTGCTGGTCCAACGGGGCTAAAGTCCTACTCTCTAACCAACTTCAACCTGGGCATAACCAACCAGACTCCTGTCACAAGAGCCTGCCGATCAGTAACCAAAGACGGAGTTGGCTCTTTATTAGTAAAACCACGATCTCCATGGACTTGCTAGAGCGCCAGAGCATTTCCCGGTGGTCTTACCCCATGAAAATCAGTTGCTGAGACTGAAATCCCTGCTTCCTTTCCAGGGCTGTTCCTGTTAAGTTGTGGGTGAACATATCAGACGACACAGCAATTCTTCAAACAGCTCTTGTTTATTCACAGGCCCAGAACAGAACTGAACTGAAGGGTTCAGCCAGCCTGCTTATATAGAGCTCCACTACAAAGCAACAGTAACCACTTTCTGTAACTATCCAATCACTGAACGTCACTTTCATTTCCTTATTTGCATATGTGGACCTGAATGAAAACTATCTACAGTATCCCCCTGCTGGCCCAGGGTGAGAACTCTAGTACATAACAGTTCCCAAGCAATCCGAGGCTGTGCCTGCATGCAGACAACCTTTCCACTGCACTTTTCACGCCTTGCCTAGTTCTGGGAAACCAGGGGAGAGGAGAGCTTTTTGCAGCAGGAGAGAGACACCAGCTGGACTCATCTCTGCCTCTGTCCAGTGGCTGGTCCTAGTTGCTGGTGTCCTTCTCCATCGTCTCAGTGTTGCTCCCTGTAGAACTGAGCCGGGAGGAAAATGGGGCTAGACTCGCAGGGGTCAGCAAACTTTTTTAGCAGGGGGCCGGTCCACTGTCCCTCATACCATGTGGGGGGCCGGACTATACTTTGGGGGGGGGAATGAATGAATTCCTCTGCCCCACAAATAACCCAGAGATGCATTTTAAATAAAAGGACACATTCTACTCATGTGAAAACACGCTGATTCCCGGACCGTCCGCCAGCCGGATTGAGAAGGCGATTGGGCCAGATTGTAGAATCATAAAACTGTAGGGCTGAAGGGGACCCTGAGGGTCATCTAGTCCAACCCCCCGCAATGAACCACCTGAGATCCATGGATGAAGGGCAGCATATAAATTTGATTAATTCATTAGTTAACAATGCAGAAATCCTGCCCACAGCGATTAGTAATTTATTTTGTTATGCTAAAAATACTTTTCATTAGGTTTTCAAGAGCAAGTCAAGACATAAGCAGGGGAAGCTACCCATTGAATAAAGTGTGGTGATACAATTGCTTTACAGTATTATGCTTCCCTCCACTCGGTAAACAAACATACACAGAACCACTATAACAAATAAACTATAGAAACTATTGAAAACAAGCTAAATCCCACCACCAGCATAAAGACCCTTTGGTTCCAACACTGTAAGAATGTCTCGTTACTCCTCTTGCAGGTAAAGGTAAAGGTAAAGGGACCCCTGACCATTTGATCCATTCATGGCAGACTCTGGGGTTGCGGTGCTCATCTCGCTTTATTGGCCAAGGGAGCCGGTGTACAGCTTCCAAGTCACGTGGCCAGCATGACTAAACCGCTTCTGGAGAACCAGAGCAGCACACAGAAACGCCGTTTTCCTTCCCGCCAGAGCGGTACCTATTTATCTACTTGCACTTTGACATGCTTTCGAACTGCTAGGTTGGCAGGAGCAGGAACAGAGCAATGGGAGCTCACCCCGTCGCGGGGATTCGAACCTCTGACCTTCTGATCGGCAAGCCCTAGGCTCTGTGGTTTAACCCACAGTGTCACCCGCATAAAATAAAAAATAAAAAATAAAAATCTGCATGCAAATCATAACACATACCAAAATCTTAGAATTATAGAATTGGGAGGGACCCCGAGGTTCATCTAGTCCAGGCATGTCCAAAGTCTGTTTCAGGGGCCTAATTCGGCCCGGCAGTTGATTTAATCCGGCCCCTGCGGCAGTATATTCCTAAGAACAGCTCAACAACTTTGGGGTAAAATTGTAAAAACGCTCAGCAACTTTGGTCGGCCCTCACACATGTTCACTTCATCAAATCTGGCCCTCTTCCCTCTTTGAAAAAAGTTTGAGCACCCCTGATCTAGTCGAACCCCACACAATGCTTGAATCCTGCCCACAGCTTCCCCTGGGTGGGCTTAAACCACCAACCTTCTGGTGAGGAACCACACACACCGACCCATCACACCACCTGAGACCTAGTGAGTTACAATCTAAGATCCCTGGGCAAAGTGGAAGGTCTTAACAAGAAGGGACTGAAAAGTTTGTACCGTCTTGTTTTGAAATGCAATCTGTTGTGATACACTGTAGTGGCAACTCAAAGCTTGAGCTTAATAGCGTTTTTTAATATCTCTGGCCTTTTTGCTCTCATGCTGCCTCTTCTCAGCCACTCGAAACCCAAAGAACTCTCACACTAATATGGATCTCGGGGTGGGGGGTGAGGAAATAGAACAGAATCTCACTGCAGAGGCTTAAAAAGGCTTCCATTACCCTGGTGTGATGGCCTGGGACTCGGGCTCGGACTCAGAACCAGAGGAGACTCAGTCTGCACCAGATCCTTTGCCTCAGGCATCACCTGAACCGAGTCTGGGGACTGATCCTGAAGAGTCCCAGTCTGCACAGGTTCCCCTGCAACAAAGGACCAGCTGGGCTGAGTCAGGGGCCTGAGCCTGCCCTGGCTCCAGATGTGGGGATGACCTCGTTGCCTTCAGCTGGGCCATCACTTACAGCTGCTCCACTACCGGTTGGGTCAGGGGAGGCTGAGGCAGCCCCTGGGTCTAGTAACCCACCGACGTCTCCCGAGCTGCAGAGACTAAGGTCTGAGAGTAGGAGAGACCTGAGTACTCGCAGGAGGAGTGCTCGCCTTCGGGTGAGACAGGGAGGTGAGTTGCTGGGGGATCAGGACCGGCCGCTACCCCGACAAAGATAGAAGGCTGTTGGACCCTGCCCCAGGTTGTGGGAGCAACGTTGCTGTGTGATAGATCCTGCCTGAGATCCTGTACCTGTCCTTGCCTGGGGTCCTGCTTTGGCCCTGTCGGACTGATTCCCAGCAGAACCTTCATATTGTGGACCGGTCCTGGAACGCGTTTCACGGGTTACCCCCAGGGCCAGCACACCTGGTATCATTGGCTGAATGAATATGAGTTCACGGAAGGTCCGCCGACATTATCAAAAAGCAGAAGGGGAAATGGGGAGCCCTAGAACGTTGAGATCTGGAATAAATCTACCAGACAGGGCATTTTAACTTCCAGTTAATGGTAAAGGTAAAGGGACCCCTGACCATTAGGTCCAGTCGTGACCGACTCTGGGGTTGCGCGCTCATCTCGCTCTATAGGCCGAGGGAGCCGGCATTCGTCCGCAGACAGCTTCCGGGTCAGCATGACTAAGCCACTTCTGGCGAACCAGAGCAGTGCACGGAAATGCCATTTACCTTCCCGCCGGAGCGGTATCTATTTATCTACTTGCACTTTTTGGCGCGCTTTTGAACTGCTAGGTTGGCAGGAGCAGGGACCGAGCAACGGGAGCTCACCGCGTCGCAGGGATTCAAACCGCCGACCTTCTGATTGGCAGTACTAGGCTCTGTGGTTTAACCCACAGCGCCACCTGTGTTCCGGTTGGGCAACAGCAATTACAAGAAGCCTCTCTCTGCCAGCTTCTTCAGCTCCCTGCAAAGCACCCCTGTACCCAGTTTCTTAATCTGGCAAGATAAGAAGAGATTGCAGCTCATTCTGCCCGGCGCCTCCATCCGTGCTTCAACACTTTGCTGCTGAGAGTATGACAAACAGGGCTGCAGATTCCTAGGAAGAATCTCCTTCTGCCCCTGGGTGTTGTTCCAGAGCCACGGAAAATGGGTCACTATTCCCAAGGGCCATCTGATAGGAACAAGAGTGGCACAGTGATTTGAGCAGGGATGGTGAACCCGGACAAAACTCCAAGAACATCTGGGGGGCCGCAGATGTCAGAAGAACAGAAGTTGCACAGCAGCAAGAGTATTGTTGGCCCAGAAATGGAAACAAGAAGAATTACCAAAGAAGGAAGAATGGCAGACGAAATTAATGGACTATGCAGAAGATGACAGGAAGGATTTGACCAGAGATTCACAGAGGACTGGAATAAATATGTGAGCTATTTGAAAAGCAATTGTAATCAACAGATTACGCTAGTAGGATTACAAGAAGTTTTGTAAGGAGGAACTTATGAAATATTGCAAGGAAGGTTATGAAGAAGAGAGTTATTCATTAAGATAATTAAAAGTAATAATGAAATTAAGAAATGTAAATTAAGTGAAAAAGATTGGAAAAGTTTCAGATGTGATTGATGGAAGTAAAAAAAATGGTATAAGAGATGAAATTATGTTAAATGATAGTTGGAAAATTATATGTTATGTATAGATAAATAGATAGATAGATAGATAGATATAGATATATATAGATATATATATAGTAAAGGTAAAGGGACCCCTGACCATTAGGTCCAGTCGACTCTGGGGTTGCGCGCTCATCTCGCTTTATAGGCCGAGGGAGCCGGCGTTTGTCCGCAGACAGCTTCTGGGTCATGTGGCCAGCATGACTAAGCCGCTTCTGGCGAACCAGAGCAGCGCACGGAAACGCCGTTTACCTTCCCGCCAGAGCGGCACCTATTTATCTACTTGCACTTTGACGTGTTTTTGAACTGCTAGGTGGGCAGGAGCAGGGACCGAGCAACGGGAGCTCACCCCGTCGCAGGGATTTGAACCGCCGACCTTCTGATCGGCAAGCCCTAGGCTCTGTGGCAAGACTGCATTGCAAAAACATGTATGTTGGGCGGGTTTCGCCCCCATATGCTGACAAATTGAACAGACTCTTTAAAGCAATGGCAAACTTTTGTGGAAATGTGGAGAACGGGACTTGGCTGGGGAAAGCCAGCCAGATGGGTGGGGTATAAATAATAAATTATTATTATTATTAATACTACTAGTAGTAAAATGAGTGGCTGCAATTGACAGATCTGTCCCTATTCTGATAGCTCAGTTGGTAGAGAAAGAGACTCTTAATCTCAGGTTGTGCGTTCACAACCATGTTGGAAAAATAATAATAATAATAATAATAATAATAATAATAATTTTATTATTTATATGCAACCCACCTGACTGGGTTGACCCAGCCACTCTGGGCAGCTTCCAGCAAAATACAGTGGAACCTCAGTTCCCAAGTGCCTCCGTTGTCGTATGTTTTGGTTCTCAAACACTGAAAACCCAGAAGTAAATGGTTCCGTTTTCGAACGTTTTTTGGAACCCGAACGTACGACGCGGCTTCCGCTGACTGCAAGAAGCTCTTGCAACCCATGGGAAGTCACGCCTTGGATTTCGTTCGAGAACCGAGGTACCAGAGTATAAAAAACACAATAAAACATCGCACAGTCCTGCATTGCAGTGGGTTGGACTAGATGACCCTTGCGGTTCATTTCCAATTCTACAGGTTCTAAGATTTTAAGATTCTGTTCTGGAGCCCTCCCATAGCTGTCAACATACAGATTTGAAAATAAGGGACCAGCAGCCTCGAAAATAAGGGATCAGCAGCCAAAATAAGGGATTTTCAGAACACAGGTATGTTCAACTTATGAGCCCCTGCAAGCCAAAGGCAGAAAGCCCAGCCAGCAGCCAAACGAAGCCTCAAGCGGTGGTTCCCACAGCGCAGCAACCCGGCAAAGGGGATGCAGCAAGGAAAACCACCGTCACCTCTCCGCTGGGAAGCGCTGAGCAAAGGCGAGTCCCCAGGCAACGCGGCCGATTTGATCGGCACAAGGCGTGCAAGCTCCACCCCCCAGTCATTCTTAGACTCCTTATTGGGTGAGCAACGCAGCGAAGCAACACAGTTGGCGCCTCCCTCCTCCCTGGCCGGCAGGGAGGGAGGGAGAGGAGCTGCTTCCTTTGAAACCCGGGAAATTTAAGGGACATCATCAATAAGGGACAGCAGAGGGACACGGCGCTGGGATAAGGGACTTTCCCGCCAAATAAGGGACGGTTGACAGCTATGAGCCCTCCCCTCAGTCTCTTGTGAGCCAGCTGGAGAATCCCTGTTTATACCTGGTCGTGGTCACACCTGGCAGATGAGTGCAGTAAGTGGGACAGAAAGAGGGAGGTCAACATTGTGCAGGAACTCCCCCGCCCCCCAACCAAGGTTATTTTCGCCATATCTATGTAAATGCCTGGGAGGCTTTTGGGAGGGCATTGCGGCCCAGAGCATATGTGTGCTGTGTCATTCCCTGCTTGCAATTCCCCCTACCGTCAATCAAGAGGCCTTGATTGCTCTGGAGCCATTATCCACCTGGTTCCCATCTTTCCTCGTCTGCCTGGCTGCTGAATGCCATTTCCCCAATCTTGCCTGGACAGCGAGAGGCTCATAAAACAAAACCGTGCCGTTTCCGAGAGGGGAAAAAAATAAAATCAATCTCCTCTCTATTAATTTGGGTCCCTTAAGACTTATCATTGTCTTTCTCGCCGGTGGATGAAAAGCCCTTGGCAACGTCTCAAGTAACCTTTTTCGTTCCAAGATGGGGTGGAAGCGAGAGCGAGGGAGCTAGCAAAGCGAGCACCTGGTTCTGGGCAGCCCAGTTTAAGATGGATATCGACAAGTTGGAACCATGTGCAGGGGAGAGCGACCGAGATGACCGAGGGTCTGGAAAACAAGCCTTATGAGGAATGGTGGGGAGAACTGAGTATGTTTAGCCTGGAAAAGAGGAGACTGAGAGATGATAGGATATCTGAAGGGCTGCCACAGTGTCACATGGAAGATGGAGCAAGCTTGGGGGTTTTTTGCTGCTCTGGAACGGAGGACCCGAACTGAAGGATTCAAATGGCAGCGCAGAGGAGTGGTGGGAGGAATCATCTGGGGAACCCCTAAGGGAAGAAAGCTCAGAGCCTGGGGGAAGGGGATGGGACAATGAAATATACTCGGAGTCGAGAGTGGATTTCATGCTCTTTATTCAGCTCATAGTGGTGAGGAGGAATGGAAGTTCCCCCAGAATGTCTGCCTTATATATATTATTTACACAATGAGCCCCACGTGATTGGATAATTCCGGGGTTCTCCTGTACACCAATCAGGTTGCGGATTCCCTTCCACCGGGAGCTGGATTGGGTGGCTCCTGTGGACCAATCACACTGCTGCATTGTTCTAGGACCAAGCAGACTGCTGCATTCTGGATCCTATTGTTCTAGGACCAATCAGACTGCAGCATTCTGAATCCTATTGTTCTAGGACCAATCAGACTGCTGCATTCTGAATCCTATTGCTCTAGGACCAATCAGACTGCAGCATTCTGGATCCTATTGTTCTAGGATCAATCAGACTGCTGCATTCTGGATCCTATTGTTCTAGGACCAATCAGACCGCTGCATTCTGGATCCTATTGTTCTAGGACCAATCAGAGTGCTGCATTCTGGATCCTAATGTTCTAGGACCAATCAGACTGCTGCATTCTGGATCCTATTGTTCTAGGACCAATCAGACCGCTGCATTCTGGATCCTATTGTTCTAGGACCAATCAGAGTGCTGCATTCTGGATCCTATTGTTCCAGGACCAATCAGACTGCTGCATTCTGGATCCTATTGTTCCAGGACCAATCAGACTGCTGCATTCTGGATCCTATTGTTCTAGGACCAATCAGAGTGCTGCATTCTGAATCCTATTCAACTCACTACATAACAGACAACGATGAGCGGGCAGAGGGAAAAGAGGGAGCGGACTGGGAGGAAGAAGTGTCAGTAGTGGAAGAGGTAACAGCTGGGAGAGTCTGTGGCAGAGAGGAGTCCAGAATGAGAAGCTGAAGAGGGAGAGGAAGGGAGGCCAAGAGACAGACAGAAGTCGGGCTGCTGAAGAAGCCAGGGTGTTTCCTGCTCCTGCAGCCACCAGCTCCCCTCCCTTCCCCGCCCTGGTCTCTCAGAACCAGAAGAGGCGTGAAGCTAGAGGAGCAAAGTCAGCCACGCAGGCGCCGCCTCCGATTGCTTGGAAAAAGAGAGAGGAGGAGACACAGACCTCTAGTCTCAGCAACTGATCCATGGGAGCAAGACCTGGTGGAGACTATTTCCTGTGCTCGTTAGACTCTGCTAAGTCTGTGCAGATCCTGTTCTTCCTAACAGATAACTCCGACATGCACAGTAGATTCTCCCCACCTTCCTAGACCACTGGATCAATTCTGGGGCTCTTTTGCGGACCACTCTTCTTCTCTGCCCTGTCCTGGCCAGCCCCACACTTAAGGCATAGCTGCCAACTTACAGATTTGAAAATAAGGGACCAGCAGCCTCGAAAATAAGGGATCAGCAGCCAAAATAAGGGATTTTCAGAACACAGGTATGTTCAACTTCTGAGCCCCTCCAAGCCAAAGGCAGAAAGCCCAGCCAGCAGCCAAACGAAGCCTCAAGCGGTGGTTGCCACAGCGCAACAACCCGGCAAAGGGGATGCAGCAAGGAAAACCACCGTCACCTCTCCGCTGGGAAGCGCTGAGCAAAGGCGAGTCCCCAGGCAACGCGGCCGATTTGATCGGCACAAGGCATGCAAGCTCCACCCCCCAGTCGTTCTTAGACTCCTTATTGGGTGAGCAACACAGCCAAGCAACACAGTTGGAGCTTCCCTCCTCCCTGGCTGGCAGGGAGGGCGGGAGAGGAGCTGCTTCCTTTGAAACCCGGGAAATTTAAGGGACATCATCAATAAGGGACAGCAGCGGGACACGGCGCTGGGATAAGGGACTTTCCCGCCGAATAAGGGACAGTTGACAGCTATGACTCAAGGCCCATGACAGCGGCAGGAGACAGGTGTCCAGCAGGGCAGCCTTCACACCCCCAACTCAGCTGGACTCGTAATCACAAGGTTGCGGGTTCGAACCCCAAGTTGGGCAAAGAGACTCCTGCATAGTGTGGGGGCTGACCTTCTATGATTCTATACTAGTAAGAGACTGAAAAGCTTCGGGCAGTCAGCTGCACATGTCCCCCTTGCTCCCCAAGTGGCCCCGAATCCCCCCCCCCAAGCTGTTGCCCTCCTAACGCAGGAAGACGCAGGCCTTTTGATGGAATTAATCAAGCTTGTTCTCCCTCCCCCTGCCCCCCCGCCAGGCGCCCTCAAGTGCAGCCACAGCTTTGATATTTGATATTTGCGGTTCCAGTCATGGGAAATGGCTGTGATAACATTAACGATTTGCATAGTAATTGTTTCTTCTCTGGGGGAGGAGGATGGAGTGAGGGCGGCTGGGGGGTGTGTGTGAAGCACATAAGAAATCTGCCAGGTATTTGCAAGGTGGAATTTTAACTGTATGTTGTGTTGGTGATAGGAAGCTGTTGCAGAACAGTTTACAGCCCCCCCCCCAAACCTGGTGATTTACTTTTCCCCCTTTTAGCCTCTTGTACATTGACTATTTCTGTTTTACGCAGAGGGAATGTGGTGACTGATTTATCTATTGCATTTATATCAGACTTTCCCTTCAAGGGGCTCCTTGTGGACATGATTCTCTCCCATTCTCCATTTCATCCTCATAAGAACCCTGTAAGGTAGGGCAGATCGGGACGCGGGTGGCGCTGTGAGTTAAACCACAGAGCCTAGGACTTGCCGATCAGAAGGTCGGCGGTTCGAAACCCCATGACGGTGTGAGCTCCTGTTGCTCGGTCCCTGCTCCTGCCAACCTAGCAGTTCAAAAGTACGTCAAAGTGCAAGTAAATAAATAGGTACCGCTCCGGCGGGAAGGTAAACGGCGTTTCCGTGCGCTGCTCTGGTTCGCCAGAAGCGGCTTAGTCCTGCTGGCCACATGACCCAGAAGCTGTACGCCGGTTCCCTTGGCCAGTAAAGCGAGATGAGCACCGCAACCCCAGAGTCGGTCACGACTGGACCTAATGGTCAGGGGTCCCTTTACCTTTTAAGATAGGGCAGAGCTACGGCAGGGGGCGGGGGGAGCCAGGTTTTTTGCCCCAGATGGAGCCCTCCCCGGCAAGAGCTGGGCTCACAGCAGTTAACACCAGTAAAATTACAATTAAAACATAATGGGGGGGGGGGCAATTTAAAATACAGGTTAAAAATGCAATTTAAAATGCAGCCTCATT